ATTGACATTCCCATCAGAAGTGTGTGAGACTGTCTTCAACAACACTGAGTTTTCTCATGCATTCCTTTTTAATCTTTGCAAATTTCATTGGAGAAAATGGTGTACCAATTTATATTTTTTATTAAATGTATTAGGGTGATATTGGTTCACAAGATCATACTGCATCGTGCACCCAGCGCCCCAAGCAAAGTCTCTTTCCATCCCCATTTCCCCCACCCTTTGCCCATCTCCACCTACCCCAGCCCCCTTTCCCTCTTACTATCACTACACTGTTCTCTGTGTCTATGTAGCTTAATCCTTCACCTTCTTTCATCCAGCCCTTAAACCCCCACCCCTCTGAGAGCTGTCAGTCTATTCTATGTATCCATGCCTCTGTTTCTATTTTGTTCATCAGATTCAACATACAAGTGAGATCAGATGGTACTTTCTCTGACTGATGATACGCCATTTTAATTCCCCTTTACTACTAAGAATATTTTTCATGTTTACTAGCGACTTAAATTTCTTCTTTTATGTATTTTCTTATTCCCATCATTTGCACATTTTCTAGTAAAATACTTATATTTTTTCTTACTGCTCTGTAAATCTTTATATATTAAGAATAATGAGTCTTGCCCGGCCAGCATGGTTCAGTGGTTGAGCCTCAACCTATGAACCAGGAGGTCATGGTTCGATTCCCAGTCAGGGCACATGCCTGGGTTGCAGGCTCGATCCCTAGAGTGGGGCATGCAGGAGGCAGCTAATCAATGATTCTCTCTCATCACTGATTCTCTCTCTCCCTCTCCCTTCCTCTCTGAAATCAATAAAAATATATTTTTAAAAAAGAATAATGAGTCTTGTTGCAATTGTTTCTAGTTTCTTCATTAACTTTATGATTTTGTGCAGAAATTTAAATTTTTCATATACTTAATTATGTTAATATTTTCTTTATTATTCTACCTTTGATATAATACATATAAATATCTTCCCTACCCCAAGATTATATATTCTCCTATATTTTTTAGTTCCTTTATCATTTCTCTCTCTTTTTAAAAAATTTTAGATTCTTTAATGCACCAGTTCCCAAACAGAATTACACATCAGAATTGCTTACAGAGTTTCTTTAAATGCTCATGTCTTAAGACTGAATTACAATTTGGGAGCGGGGGTGAAAGCTGAACAGAAATATTGTTAAAGGCACCACAGGCAATTCTGATACACCCCCTCCTTTATTAAGAAACTATTTTAATCCTTCTAAATTTATATTGGTATCATTTTTCCAAATCATTTCAGTACATTTCAAGAATTTGAAATGCTACTTTGGTAAACTCCATGACAGCAGAGACCATACCTGTTTTTACTGACCATTATGTCATAGTGCCTGGTGCACAACTGGTGCTTCCTAAATGTGTTTATTTGATTGATTGATTGATTGATTGATTGATTTGAGAGAGAGAGAGAGAGAGAGAGAGACATTAATTTGTTGTTCCACTTATTTATACATTCATTGTTTGATTCTTGTATGTGCCCTGACCAGGAATCAAACCCACAACCTTGGCATATAGGGA